TCTCTGTCTTCTATGACAAAGCCTGTTCTGTGTTCACCTCACGGTGTAACCTATGTGACTTAAACTTCTGCATCAGCCTACCATGAGGGACCTTGTCAAAGGCCTTGATAAAGTCTATGTGGACAACATGCATCATGGCTTTCTGCAGAGAAGGTCATGTCTCACAAACATAATTGAGTTTTTTGAGGAAGTGACAAAGATGATTGATGAAGGCAGGACAGTGGATGTTGTCTACATGCACTCTACTGAAGCATTTGACAAGTTCCCTCATGGTAGGCTGGTCCAGAAAATTAAGTCACATAGGATCGATCCTTGGTGAGTTGCTAAGTTGGATACAAGATTGAATTTGATTATAAGAGAACAGAGAGTAGTTGTGGAGGGTGCTTCTCTGACTGGACGTCTGTGACCAGAGATATTCCGCAAGATTTGTCATATTTATAAAAGATTTGGATGAAAATGTAAGTTGCCTGTTTAATAGGTTTGCTAATGCTGTGAAAATTGGCAGAGTTCAGGATAGTGAGGAAGGTTGTCAAAGGATACAGCAGGATATAGATCAATTGGAACGTTGGATGGAGAAATGGCAGATGGACAAGCGTGAGGTAATGCAATTTGAGAGGCAAAATGCAAGAGGAAAGTATTCAGTAAATGGCAGGACCATTAGGAGCATTGATATAAAGAGGGATCTTGGGATCCAACTCCATATAGCTCCCTGAACACAGTTGGATAAGGTGGTAAAGAAGGCATGCTTGCCTTCATCGATTAGGATATGGTATAAAAGTTGACAAATCATGTTGCAGCTTATGAGACTTTAGTTGGAATCAATAGAGAATCATAACATCTCTACAAAGTGGAAACAGGCCATTCAGCCCACTGAGTCAACACAGACCCTCCAAAGATCATCCTACCCAGACCTATCCTATAACCCTGCATTTCCCACAGCCAGTCCACCTAGCCCGCACATCCTTTGACACTATGGTCAATTTAGCTAATCCACCTAACCTGCACATCTTTGGACTGCGAGGAAATCAGACCACCCGGAGGAAATCCACGCAGACATGGACCCAATGTGCAAACTCCACACAGACAGTCAGCCAAGGCTGGACTTGAACCCAGGTCCCTGGCACTATGAGGCAGCAGTGCTAACCACTGTGCCACCCCATTGGTGACAGCAGTTCCGGTCACCACAGTATAGGCAGAATGTGGACGCTTTGGCGAGGGTGCAAGAGAGGTTTACCAGAACGTTGCCTGGATTGGAGTGTATTAACTCATGGAGACGTTGGACAAACCTGGATTGTTTTCACTAAAGCGTAAGAGACTGAGGGATGACCTGGTAGAAATATATAAAATTGAGAGGCACGGATATAGTAAAAGTATTTTTCCCAGGAGAATACTAGGCGGCGTATGTTTAAGTTGAGAGGGGAAAAGTTTAAAGGAGATGTCCAAGGAAAGTTTTTTTTAAATACACAGAGTGGGGTGGGTGCCTGGAACATGCTGCTAGGGGAGGTGGCAGCAGAGAAGTTGGCAAAGTTTAAGAGGCATTTAGACATACATATGAACAGTTAGGGAATACAGGGATACAGACCAGGTGCAAGCAGATTTGATTAGTTTAGAATGGCATCATGGTTGGCATAGATATCCCCACCTGGTCTGACCTACATGCGACTCCAGACCCACAGCAATGTGGTTGACTCTCAATTGCCCTCTGAAATGGCCTAGCAAGCCATTCAGTTATATCAATTGCTACAAATTTTCAAAGAAATGAAACCGGACGGATCTCCTGGCATCGACCGAGGCACCAGAAAAGACAACGGCAGAAACAACCCTATCGACCCTGCAAAGTCCTCTTTACTAACATCTGCTGGCTAGTGCCAAAATTGGGACAGCTGTCTCACAGTCTAGTTAAGCAACTGCCTGACATGGTCATATTCAATGTCCCACAATCATCTCACAATGTCTCAAACACCACCATAACCATCCCTGGATATGTCCTGTCTCACCAACAGGACAGACCCAGCAAACGTGGTCGCACAGTGGTATACAGTCGTAAGGGAGTTGCCCTGAGAGTCCTCAACATTGACTCCGGAGCCCATGAAGTCTCACGGCTGCAGGTTAAACATGGGCAAGGAAACTTCCTGCTTATTACCACGTACCATCCTCCCTTGGCTGAAGAATCGGTACTCTGCCATGTTGGACAACACCTGGAGGAAGCACCGAGAATGGCAAGGGCACAAAATGTACGCTGGGTGTTGGGATTTCAATGTTCACCACCAAGTGGGTCTCGGCAGTGGTACTACTGATCAAGCTGGTGGGGACCCAAACAACATAGCTGCTAGACTGGGTCTGCGGCAGGCAGTGAAGGAACCGACAAGAACATACTTGACCTCATCCTTACCAATTTGCCAGCTGCAGATGCATCTGTCCAAAACAACATTGGTAAGAGCAACCACCATACAGTCCTTGTGGAGTCAAAGTCCTGCCTTCGCATTGAGAATGTCCTCCATTGTATTATCTGGCACTATTACTGTGTTAAATGGGATAAACTTCAAACAGATCTAGCAACTCAAGACTGGGCATCCATGCGGCACTTTTGGCCATCAACAGCAGCAGAATTGTACTCTAGCAAAATCTGTAACCTCAAGGCCTGACATATCGCCCACTCAACCATTACCGTCAAACATGGGGATAAGCCCAGTTAAGACACTCACAACAGGAGATGGCTCCATAAATATCCCCATCCCCAATGATGCAAGAGCCCAACACATCAGTGCAAAAGATAAGGTTGAAGTTTTTACAGCTATCTCGGCCTCCTTCAATGGTCCCAGCATTACTGATACCAATTTTCAGCCAATTCGATTCACTCCACGTGATACCAAGAAATAGTTGGAGGCAAAAGCTGTAGGTCCTGACAACATTCTGGCAATACCAAAGATGCACTCCAGAACTTACTGCTGCCATAACAAAGCTCTTTCAGTCTAATTATTACATTGGCATCTACCCAACAATGTGGAAAACTGCCCAGATATGTCCAGTACACAAAAGTAGGACAAATCCTCACAGCGCCAGGGACCCAGGTTTGATTCCACCCTTGGGTGACTGTCTGTGTGGAGTTTGCACATTTTCCCCATGTCTGCGTGGGTTTCCTCCAGGTGCTCTGGTTTCCTCCCACAGTCCAAAGATGCTAAATTGCCTGTAGTGTCCAAGGATATTTAGGTTAGGTGGGTTAGACATGGGGAAATGCAGGGGTAGGGGAATGAGTTGGAGTGGGATGCTCTTCGGAGGGGCGGTTTGGACTTGTTGGGCTGAATGGCCTGTTTCCACACTGTAGGGATTCTATGAATCTATGAATGAAATCCAACCCGGACAATTACCGCCCCCTCAGTATACTCTCGATCATCAGTAAAATGATGGAAGGTGTCATCAACATTGATATCAAGCAATACCTGCTCAGCAGTAAGCTACTCTGTGATGCCCAGTTTGGGTTGCACCAGGGCCACTCAGCTTCTGACCTCATTACAGCCGTAGTTCAAACAATGGACAGAACAGCTGAATTCCAGAGGTGAGGTGAGAGTGATGCCACATTCGATCAAGTGTGGCATCAAGGAGCTCTAGCAAAACTGGAATCAATGGGTGTTGAGGGAAATCTCTCCGGTAGTTAGAGTGATACATGGCACACGGGAAGATGGTCGTCGTTGTTAGAGGTCAATCATCACAACTCCAGGTCATCTCTGCAGGAGTTCCTCAGGGTAGTGTCTTAGACCCACCCATTTTCAGCTGCTTCATTAATGACCTGCCCTCCATCAATAGGGTCAGAAGTGGAGATGTTCACTGATGATTGCACAATATTCAGTACCATTCGCAACTCCTCAGATACTGAAGCAGTCCATATTCAAATACAACAAGATCTGGACAATATCCAGGCTTGGGCTGACAGGTGGCAAGTAACATCTGCACCACACAAGTGCCAGGCTATGACTGTCACCAATAAGAGACAATCTAACACCGTCCCTTGACATTCAATGGTGTTAACATTACTAAATCCCCCACTACCAACATCCTTGGGGTTACCATTAACTAGAAATGCAACTAGACTTGCCATTATAAACACAATAGCTACAAGAGCAGGTCACAGGCTTGGAATACTGCAGTGAGTATCTACCTCCTGACTCCCCAAAACCTGTCTATCATCTACAAGAAACAAGTCAGGATACTTGCAGCTCCAACAACACTCAAGAAGCTTGACACCATCCAGGACAAAGCAGCATACTTGATTACTCATCCACAAACATCCACTCCCTTCAGCTTTGATGCTCACCAGCAGTAGTGCGTACTTGCTACAAGGGGCACTGCAGAAATTGACCAAAGATCCTCAAACAGCACCTTCCAAACCCATGACCATGTCCATCTAAAAGGACAAAGGCAGCAGATATATAGTAACACAAACACATTCAAGTTCCCTCCAAGCCACTCACCATCCTGACTTGGAAATATATCGCCATTCCTTCACTGTCGCTGGGTCAGAATCCTGGAATTCCCTCCCTAATGGCACTTTGGGTCAGCCCACAGCCATTGGACTGCAGCGGCTGAAGAAGGCATGGTGGCTTAGTGGTTAGTACTACGACCTCACAGCGCCAGGAACCAGAGTTCGATCCCAGCCTCAGGCAACTGTCTGTGTGGAGTTTGCAGGTTTCTGCCTGGTGCTCTGGTTTCTTCCCACAGTCCAAAGGTGTGCAAGTTAGGTGGATTGGCCATGCTAAATTATCCAAAGTGTTCAGGAATGTGCAGGTTAGGTGCGTTTGCCATGGGAAATGCAGTGTTATAGGGTAGGGCTATGGGTCTGCATGGGCTGCTCTTCGGAGGGTGGGTGTGGACTTGTTGGGGCAAATGGCCTTTTCCCACACTGTGGGGATTCTCGATGTAAGGCAGCTCATCATCACCTTCTCATGTGTAACTAGAGATGAGAAATAAATGCAGGCACAGCCAAAGACACCCAAATCCCACAAATGAACAAATCTTAAAAAAAATTAAACCCCTTCACACTTACAGATTAAAGCACACATGATGCTAGTTCAAAATCCAAACTCTAAAATAGATCTCACACACACACAGATATATATATATATCATAAAACCTAGACATATATACACATATATAATATAGACCTTACATCAAAACTGCTATCAGTCACCTGTCTTTAAGTTCCAGATAACAAGGTTTTGAGAGCACAGGCTTCAGAAACCAACATCTGAGTGCTGAGTCAGCATGAGGTTATTCTACGTATGATTCAAGAGACGGCCAAAGGTAGTCTCTGCTTTCCATCTATGTGCATTGAGTTCTGCTTCAAAAAAAAAGATTATCTCACTGCAGACTCAAGGTCACAGAAGTTGTTAAACATTTCAAGTAGGATGTTATTTAGCCTGGTCCAGGTGTGGATCTGTTGATGTTTAAAGTCAGAGACAGCAGGCTACAAACATGGGCGAGATGATCCATGAGCTTTTGTAGATCAGTTTGTGTGAGTGATCAGTGCACTGTCATCAGTGTAGGGTAAAGGAATTCTCTGATTAAAGACATGCTTTATTTTTGTCTTTGTTTTCAGTCTGGATTGATTGTAGAGCTCACTGTCTGACCTGGCATACAGGTAAATTCCTTCATATCAGAGGGGAATGCCAAGGCCGAGAGAATGAAGAAGAAAATGCAAAACCAAGTGGGGGCTCCAACACAGCCCAATTTCACTTCATTCTTCATCCTGGACCTAAAGATGTGATGCTGTCAATCTGTGCAATACAGGGCAATGAAAGGAACAGTTAGCCTTGGGAGCTTTGTTGGACAAAGCTTTTTTGGTGATCTCCTTTGTCAGCTTTCTTTTTGTAAATTGATAATTTTTGTGTTTTCCCTTCCACAAGACATCTGTTCTCCTCACCAAATACAGATCTCAAATTCAGGATCACCGTTAGTGTTTTTAAGAAAGGAAATTGTTGTCCAAAATATCAGCAACATATCCAGATTACCAAACTACAGCCAGTTATAGATGTGTTAACATCAGTTGAAACAAATCTAATATTGTCAGACTGTCAATTTTGGAAGTGATCAACAACAGCAATAACAGCAAATCCAATTCTTTCATAAGATAAGGAAATCATTGTTTGGGTCATCATTAGTGGCCACGAAGAAGATGGTGGTGAGTTTCCTCCTTGAACTGCTGCAGTTTACATGTTATTGAGGTTCACCTATGAGCTCGCTTATGTGTCACTAGGTTGAAGGACCGAGTGAATCCCTTCCCACACACAGAGCAGATGAATGGCCTCTCTCCAGTATGAACTCGCTGGTGAGCAAGGAGAGAGGATGAACACCTGAAACTCTTCCTGCAGGAAGTGCAGTTGAATGGCTTCTCCTCTGTGTGAATTAGCTGGTGTGACTCAAGTGCGGATGATACAGTGAATCCCTTTCCACATGCAGAACAAGTGAATGGTTTCTCCCCCGTGTGAATTCGCTGGTGTGCAATCAGGGTGGATGACTGCCGGAAACCTTTCCCACAGGAAGTGCACCTGAATGGCTTCTCTCCAGTGTGAACACGCTGGTGTCTCAGCAAACTGGATGACTGAGTGAACCCTTGCCCACACACTGGGCAGGTGAATGGCTTTTCACCAGAGTGAACTCGCTGGTGTTCAACAAGAGCAGATGAATGCCTGAACCTTTTTCCACAGGAGGTGCAGCTGAATGGTTTCTGCTCAGTATGAATTCGCTGGTGTGATCGAAGGCCAGATGAATGAGGAAATCTCTTCTCACACACAGAACAGTTGAATGGTTTCTCCCCAGTGTGAACTCGATGGTGTATATTCAAGTCAGATGAAGACATGAACCTCTTTGCACAGTACATGCAGCTGAAGGGCCTCTCCTTAGTGTGAATCCGCTGGTGTAACATGAGGCAGGATGTCTGCGTAAATCCCTTCCCACACTCTGAACAGGTGAACGGTCTCTCCTCAGTGTGAATTCTCTGATGTGACACGAGTTTGGTTGTCTGAGTAAATCCCTTTCCACACACAGAACACGTAAATGGCTTTTCTCCAGTGTGAACTCGTCGGTGGATTTCCAGCTGGGATGGGTAATTGAATCCTTTACCACAGTCCTCGCATTTCCACGGTTTCTCCATGGAGATGTTGTCCTTGTATCTCTTCAGGATGGGTGATCAATCGAAGCCTTGACCACACACTAATTAAGCACAATATCTCCCCACGGCGAATGGTGTAGATGTTTTCCCAATCTTCTTGACTGGTTAAAATTATTTCCACAGGAAATTCACTGGAATGCTCTCACTTGGAATGTGAGACTGTGTAATGCTCTTTCCACAGTCTACTCACTGGAACACAATCACTCAGGGGTGTGGGTGTATGTGTCACTGGATTCTTGTCACTCACACTGATGTTTGAAATCATTTCCCACAGGCAGAACAAACATTTCTCCTTTCACGTTCAGAATCAAATGGTACTCAGGTCCTGATAAATTGCACTAGTCAACTAGACCTTGGCAGGAAATTTGGTTTGTATTTAATATCTCCAAAGCCTTCTCTTCAAATATCCTGCAAAAGGAGTTTACAGAAGTCATCACTATCAGTGCAGAATAGAAATTCAGAAGCAAATTGCAGATTCTAATGAACATTATTTTCCTCTCTTATTCCCGGTTCCACATCTGCTTTTTTGGAAATCCAGATCTATCTCCCCTTTTACCCCCTACTCCCAGTTTTCCATCCTGTCTGTAGATTCACTTTTCCAGCTCCTGCCTGCAGACTGAGAATCAATGAGTCTGATTCAGATTTTGGGGTCCCCAGCGGATGTTGATGAATTTTCCCCGCCCACACCCGGGGTTTCCTTCCTGATCAGAGCCTCATTGGTTCCCCCTACAGTGCGACACGCCTTTCCCTCACCAAGATGGCGGCCGGTTGCCCGGGTAACCAGGCTGGATTCCCGCCCCCACCAAAATAGTAGTCAGTCGTTTTCACCACCACCAACCCTAAATCCGCGCGCGCGCGTCCTCAGGCCTCCTCTGGAGTTTATAAACTTCCCAAGCCCCCTCCTCTCCCAGTTTACATTGGTCTCGCAACCTACTCTCTCCCCCCCCGGGAATCTTATCGCTCGGGCCTGGCGACACCTCCCCGGTATATTACCGAAGCCTCGCCACAACCAGCCTCCTCCCACACTCGCCGGCACCACCTCCGTCCCGCTCGAGGTTTACGGAGGTGGGGGATGGGAGGAAGGCTGCATGACGTCGATTCCGGTCCAAAGGGAAGTGGGCGTGGCTGGAGGTCGGTGCCGGAACGGAAGGTCCTTCAATTAATCGGAGACGGAAGGCCGGGGCTATATTTGTGGCCAGCCCACATGAGCCTGAATTAGTTCTGAGGAAGGGTCACCGGACCCGGAACGTTAACTCTGTTTTCTCCTCCACAAATGCTGCCAGACCTGCTGAGCTTTTCCAGCAACTTTGTTTTTGTTCCACATGAGCCTGAATTGCCTGTTTTTTTTCTCACGAGGCTCTTCAGAGATGTTGCTCTATACCTCTGGGGCAGATGGGAGTTGTACCCAGGCCTCTCGGACCAAGAGTCGGGACACCATTACAGCGCCACAAGAGGTCCATAAAAATGCTGTACCCACCCCGGCGGGGAATTAAATTCCACTTTCCCGAGTGACAGGCGGAATCGTGAGCACTCTCCTTCAGAGGACCCTGACCGACATTGAGTCATATCTAATAAAAACCGAAAGAACTGCGGATGCTGGAAATGAGAAACAAAAACAGAAATTGCTGCAAAAGCTTCCTGAGAGGATGGATCATTGGAGCTGAAACATTAACTCTCATTTCTCTCCAGATGCTGAGTTTTTCCAGCAATTTCCGTTTTTGTTCCCAAGCCATATCTGTTGTCCACACTCGGTGTTGCCTACGAATGACTCCAGACCCACAGCAATGTGGTTGAATCTTAGCCAAGCTCTCTAAGAACTTCACAACATTCCTAATGTGTGGGACCCATACATGGGGTTGCATTCCACAGGGATATAACTGACAATCAGGGTTAGATTTAACTGGGATTACAGTCCCAGTCTCCATTACACCTTCATATAGAGAATGGAAATAGATTCACTAGAGAATGTATCACACAGTTTGACAAAGATAAAACCAAAATTGACAGTGTTTCAGCCTCAAAAACAGCAGAATGGGGGTGTTTCAGAAAAGAGAAAACTGAAGGGTGACCTAATAGAAGTCTTTAAGCTGTTGAAATAGTTCAATAATCCAATGGGGATTACATAAGAAACCTTTTTACTCAGCAAGTGGTGAGAACGTGGAACTCGCTCCCACAGTGAGTGGTTGAGGTGAACAGCAGGGCAAAGTGGACACACATGATTAAAGTAGGGATCGCTCATAAAATTGTTTCAGAGATAGTAGGAACTGCAGATGCTGGAGAATCTGAGATAACAAGGTGTAGATCTGGATGAACACAGCAGGCCCAGCAGCATCAGAGGAGCAGGAAAGCTGACGTTTCAGGCCTAGACCCTTCTTCAGAAA